AGGAATTCATAGTAAATATCATTGTACTACAATGGACCAATCAGTATGTCGAAGCAAATTATTTATCGTCCTCATATATTTGATTTAGATTAAAGGTGCGTTTGTTTCTCGTAAAAATATAATTAATCTTATGTAATTGAGATACAAAATTGAACGAAAATCAATGACGTTCATTTTAATGAAAATTATTTGCGATTTAAATTTAAATACAAATACTGAAGTATTATTTTTATTTGTCTAATTTTTGTTTTTGTCGTTTAATCTGTTTTTTGTTCTTCTAAATTAGGCTCGTGAACAACAACGTCGTTTTGTAAATGAACGTTTTCAACGTTCAAATGAAAATATTGATCATTGTATAAAATCATCTGTAACTGATTTAACAGAATTAATAATAAATATATATATATACAGCAATTGAACAATCAAAAAATCATGTTCAAAATGTTCGTGAACGTTTACATGAATGTAAAAATTTATTATTATTAAAACGATAAGATATACGTAAATTATGGTTATTAACATTTGAATAAAATACTTTAGTTAAAATTTATGAAAATATTGATGAATTAAAACATATACCTATATGTTTACAATTTTATTCAAATAAACATTTATATATTCATGAATCATTATTATTATTAAAAGTAAAAGAACATCAAGAATTACGTTTAATAAATGCATTATCAGATATTGATATACAAGTAAAAAATGAACGTTTAGAATTAATAAATCAATTATTTGATAAACTTGAAAATAAAAATGTTTCAACATCAATTAATTCAACATTAACAACAAATAAAAATGATCATAATTATTTATCACATATACGTGAAAATCGTCTTTTAAGAATACAACTTGATCAAGATTTTGAATCAGAAAAAATTATTATTTGAATCTCATTCATTAGCTATTATACCCGATAAATATATGTTAGTTGATATATGTCAACAAGAACCAGATTTATATCTTGATGTTTTATTATTTTCATTATCAATATGGGGTGTGGGTGTGGGTGTGGGTGTGGGTGGGGTGTGGGTGTGGGTGGGTGTGGGTTTGGGTTGGGTGCGTGAGTGTGGGTGTGGCTGGGTGTGGGTGTAGGTATGTGGGTATGGGTGTGGGCGTGGGTGTGAGGTGTGGGTGTGGGCGTTGAAGTTGGTTCGATAAAGACATGACATCCACACTCCACACCCACACCCTATTTCAGCATAATAACTATAACTTTTTTTATTTTTCATAAAAACAAAAGATTTTCTTCACAAGATATCTAGTTCGTCTCACACTCTATCGACAGGTGAAAAAAAGTTCTCAAAATCTCGTACATACATCTATCTACAAGGTATTCTTTGAGTACTACTTTTCACATATACAGTTACCTCGTTTGGTTCGAATGTATAATTCTCTTGGTGTTAGTGGGATGAATATATAATGCCAGCCATTTGTTATATATTTTTTAAAACTTAATCTTTCACTGATTGATGCTTGTTTTTTAATATTTTTTTACCAATCGGGTAGTTTACAGTTGTCTCTGTCATTCTAAACTAATTATAAAATTATATCTGAAGACTACAGCATATTTTTGAAGCTTCTAAGAAGAGCTCTAAAACAAAATTTCGAATACATTCATCCTATTGATACCAGTAGAATTATACGTTCGAACCAAACGAAGTAACTGTATACATGAAAAGTAATGTTCAAAGAACATCTGGTAGATAGGTATTTGTACAAGATTTTGAGAAGTGTTTTTTGTCACCTGTCGATAGAGTGTGAAACGAACTAGATATCTTGTGAAGAAATCTTTTGTTTTTATGAAAAATAAAAAGATTATAGCTATTATGCTGAAATACACTACTGTTCATTCTACATTTATTCTCACTTACTCTATAGAACATATTCTATCAATTCGATATTACGAAAAAAAATTATTTATTATTATTAAAATTGGTTTATTTATATATTCAATATATATGATCAACCAACTTTGTTAATTTAAATATCCTTAGCAGATGAAAGTCGTGTGACTATTTTAAATTCAATAAATCAATTGATTATTTTTAAAGATTATTTATAAAATTCATCTATTAAAATGTTAATCGATTTTGAAAATAACTTTGAAACAAACCAACTAAATCAATTTTACAATTATTCGAAAAGATTTATTGATTTTAATGGAAAATTACGTAGTATTGCTTTATTTAGAATATCAAATCTTGTTTTTCTTATTGATAATGCTCTTCTCATTTATAAACTATAAATAATTAAAATAATATTTTATTTTCGAATGATATATATCATCTTGATATAATTAACAGAATTTTTTCTGATGATTATTTTAATCAATTTAATATAAATGACAATTGTTGGAATTTCTCGAAATCGAAGACATGAAAGCATCACTTACATTTCGACAAATGAAACTCTTTTAAAATTAACGATCGAAAGAGGGAATTGAATTTTTTTCAAAATGATATCAAATATTATAGAACAACAACGAGAAAACAGACGGTTATATGTCGAGATATTTTTTTTCTTCTAATTTTCTATAGTATCATATATGATTTTCGATATTTGACTGTTATTAAATATTGTATAATAGATATTTAGTTTTTCGAAACTTTAATTCGTTCGTACATGTTTGACTATTCTCAGGTTTTTTCAACTTTGGTGCATAGGAACAATGAAACATACTTCAACTTGCAATTTTTACTTGCTCTATTTCTATATGAGTGGACATTTTATCATATTTCTTTAATTAAGTTATAATTATTGGCAAATTTTCAGCGAGTGATTTATTCATGAAACTAAATTCTACAAAACAAGTCGAATGAGAATTGGATTTATCAAATATTTTGTTGACAACTAGTTCATGATTTCTGTGTTAATATTGAAGAATTTAAATAATTTTTAATTTGAGGAATTTATTGAAATATTCTGCGGAATAATGGTCAATCATCAATTAAAGATTTCAGTTCGACATTTTCTTTAACTTGTTTTATATGTTTATTGAAAAATGTTGAAAAACAAATCGATTATTTTCAACATCGAAAACATAACGAAAAAAAGAAAAGAGAAGATGGACGGTGCGGGTGGATGTGAGCCTAAGTGTGAGTGGGACTGGAGTGTGGCGTGTGGAAGAGATGCTATAGTAGCTGTAAATAAAAGACATCCACAAGCACATTGATCTACTCTCGCACACACAGTCGCACCTATTCTCTACCTATTAGGTAGAAACAGAGCAAACGAAGCCCAATAAATAGTTCTTTCCAATTAAAATTAGTTTTTAATAATGATTCTCTATTGAATTGTTCATATATTAGCACAACAATTAGATAAGAAATGTTGAGGGGAGCTTAACCTCTGCGGTTTGGCTTGCTTCTCCCAATACTTACTGATTTGATTGATCAGCATGAGGTGATAATCATAATTTCTGTTTTTCATTGGTTATATAAGATGTTGACTATCTAACATTGTCTCGACTTAATTCCATAGAGAAAAAAGAGAACGAACGACCCACATATATAGTTAATATAAAACAGCGATTACATCACTTGAATTATATAACAAATATTTGCTTTAAGTTTTCTAACAAACTTTTGGAACACTTTATATTTACGCATATCATTATATACAGCCACAAATTTTAAATGCCAAACTTCGCCAATTATGAGACTCCAGTTGGGCGGGTGGGGAATATATCAAAGACTTCAACCTCTGCAAATTAAGCCCCCCCCCCCCCCCCCTCCATCTTAGAACTGATTTTCCACTTTCAACGTTCCTTTCATGCTGCCATTTTCAGGAATAAGTGATCTTGGAGAGATATGCTTCTCCGAAAAACTTCAGTTCGATTGGGTGTACTAGACCGAATTTCCAGCTGATTCATGAATGATTTTTGGCCTTCAGGAGAATCGGTATAACTTGGTCATTACGAGAGATACAGAGCTCGGGCCGATTTCAAATTAAAGTTTATGTCAAGACTCAACTATTGACCAAGGATAATTTTCATATTCCGTCTTGTTAATTTTTTATGAACATTTTAGTAAAAGGATCTTAAAATTAGCATAAAAAATGGTGGTCCAACGACAGTAAATTCCACTTTCCTCAGTCCAGGAACCAACTTTAAAAAATCCGTTCGAACAAAAGTTTACTCTGATCGAGACCTTTAAAACAAAAAAACAAATATTGGTTATAGCTCGAGATATGAAGGAGTGATTCCAATTTTCGTGATTGAAAACCATGTTTTGAGAAAAACGCTAAAGAAATTTTAGAAATACGTGTTTTCATTTAAATTCAAAAAGGTCATATTAAAATGTCCTATTTCTAATATATTTTCTTGAACTATTCTACAGCGTATAAAAGATGTAGTAAAACTAACGCCACGTGACGTGCTGATTAATATTAAAATGTTCTATTCAATGATAATTCAAGTAGCAACCCATTTTTTCCAAAACTGAAAACTTTAAAAAACCACGAAAATTTCTCAGAAAATATAGTAGTGAAGTCAAAGTCTGATCTGATAAGTCTTTGAAAATTGGGTCATTTTCCAAAAACCTATATATATACTGAAAGAGGAAGCTTCGCTGCATCTCTTCCTATGGTAAAAACTCCATTTCGATATTGTTTGGAAAAATTCTGTTTTCTGAGGGGACCTCTTAAGTTGTCTGAATGATATTTAAATTAAGGGCTCTGGTCTGCTCAAACATAAGAGAGCTCACATGCAAATGCCTACTATATTTTATCGTGTTCAAGTAGGAATAGTGTGTATTAATATAGTTATTAATATGTTTTATTTTAACAAATAAAAACATAATCAATAACAACAAAGAATATACTGATAACAGTAATAATACTTGTAGAGGTTGTAGAAACCTTAGATTTTCGTGAACATAAGTTCAGCTTATTCAATGATAATAACCACGTAACGTTGAAAAAAAAAGAGCAAAAACAAGAGAAAGAGAATTGCAAGATAACACGATAACAGGAACGATCATATATATACGTGTGTGTCTGCAATGACATAAGGAATATACCATAGAAAGAGAAGAAATAACTAGTGTATAACATATGAGAACGTAGAGGAAGAACAAACAAAAGAGATAGAATATCTGTTGACACTAATAGCATAATGAACGATGACCATTACGATGTTCATGTGAACGCGAACCAGTTCGACCTATATATGGAAAAAACAAATCAATAGATTTTAGTTGTAACAAAAAAAAATATTTAATACATACGACGTTTATGTTCACGACTTCGTCTTCGTCGACTATCTGTAATACAGAAATCAACAAAATTTTTATAAATTATTATCTTATTAATTTACCTCGAGATCTTGATCGTCGTTTTCTGTCTCTTGTTGATGATCGTCGTCGGTCATGACTTCCATTACGTTTGTCTCTTGGTGGACCACCACGACGTGTTGAACCTAGACCACCACCTATTTAAATACGTTCATCAATAATTATTTCACAAATAAATATAAAAATACATACCTAATCGTCTTGGTCGCCATTCTTTAACTGTTCGACCACGTTCAACATCAACCACAACACGTCGACCATCAATTTTGCGTCCATCAGCTCTTTTGTATGCAGCTGAAAGTGAAGTACTTACCGTCAACACAACAAAATATCATCGAAGATTTGACCATATTTTTTTTTTCATTTCTTACCGAAATCGACTTATCCTCATTGCTAATCTTATATACCTACTAGTTTTTTGACTTTCCAAGAAAAAGAATCGAGATGGAAAATAAATCCCATTCACTCACAACTGTTTGTTTTGAAAAACAAGAGATGAGATTATAGAACAGAATAAAATGTAAAAAAGACAGATCTGAATTTGACTTAATACGTTGTAAATATACTTTGAACTTACCCATTATTTTTAAATTTTTTTTTCTTGTCTTACCCAATTTATAAATTTATATATATGTAAATACAAACCTCAAATAATTTTTTTCTTTCTCTGGAAGTGCACTTGAAGCTGACTAGTTTTCTAGTACAGGAAGTATAATACCTGTTTGGTTTTTCCATATTTCATATGCAGATTTATACGTAAACAAATTGTTTCAGCAAAAGAACTGAATGTGTTGCACACACATCAGTGCTGTTGCGTGTCTAGAAGACAAACAAGCAATGGATAGTAGACTCGAAACAAATGGGATGAATTTAAACGAAGTCTCTCAACGCATGTCTAGCGAATGAAAAGAAATTATCGAATATATGTACAATAATTCTAATAGAAAGCTAAGAAATATCATCCTTATTCACCTGAACATTTGTAAAAAAAGAAGTCTAACTGAATTTTTGCGTCTTAAGTCAAAGAAAAACTAAAATAATAGTTTTAATAAATGACCTGCCGTGCATATCTGATTCTTTTTCATATTCAATAAATGCATAACCACGTGGTTTACCTGTTTGTTTATCGTGTATTAAATGTATCTACATAAAATAGAAATAAATTTATAATGATAAAAATTCAAATTAACTTACACTTTTAATCTTTCCATATATTTCAAATTCACGTTTTAATTTTGTTTCTGATGTATCATAATTCTATAAATAAAATATATGTAATTGTATTTTTTTATCAATATGAAATCCATACTTACAAGTCGAGCAACAAATAATGTTTTATATGGATCCACTGTAGCTTTTTCATTACTTTGTGGATCCCCTAAAATGAAAAAAGAAGTTTTTCTTTAAAAATTGATTCAATACTAATTACATAAACCAAGATCTTGTTCAAGTTTAAGAGCTGCTTTTTCAATTTTTTCATGTGCCTACAAAATAAAAGAAATATTATTATTATTTATAGATAACAATTAAATTAATCTACTCTTCTAGCAACTCGTTCTTCTTTGGTTTCAATTTCTGTTGTTGGTGGTGTTTCATCAGCATTCTGTAAAATAAAACAAAAAATTCATATTAAATATTTTCTTATCTTTTTCTTTTATATACTTCAAAATGATTGATAAGGTCAAATGAACCACCGTATGGTAAACGTTTTTTTTCGTGTAGCAATTTATCATTTGGAGGTAAAAATGGAATTGGTTCACGTAGTGCAAATAATGCAAGTAAATTTGGTGGTAAAAATTGTGTCATATTGAATTGGAAAATAGAAAACACCAATAAAATTAATATTGTTTATGTCACGTATTTCAATTTGAGTATTTGAAATAGAGAGGTCGAGTTAATACCAGTTTATTGACTCGAAGAATATAAGCAGAAAGAATGCAAGATAGATGAAACGAAACTAAATAAGAATAATTCACTCTCACAAGAAAAGGCATGCATATATATACATATAGATAACGGGTGATAGAAAAGTTTTTGGACAAAATATTTGTTCACTTTTGACCAGCTAGAAAGTATTACGGACGAGTCAAAAGCTATGAGTTAGAACCAGAATTTTGTTCTCTTTTCGAATATGGATTCAGAAATTTTGTCTCAGTTTTTGTTCAAGAACAGTGAAATACTCTTTGACAAGTCCCAAAAAATTAGTTGGGACGGAGCTTGTCGGGCGAAGAATACGGTAAAGATGTTTGTTCAATTTGGTCTGCTTGAAAGCATTTCGGACGAGCCAAAAATTATAGGTGATGACTAAAATTTTGTGCTCTCTTTGAATACGGGCTTAGAAATGTTGTATCTATTTTTTGGTCAAGAGCAGTGAGGACCTTTTTGAAACGCCTGAAAATTTATTACTCTTTTTTTAATGATGAAGCAACACGGTTTTGTTCACCTCATAAGTTTCTTTTCGAACATGCTAAAAATTGTTTGAGTCGATCGTTTTGTAGAGCAAACACTTCTCTACAAAGTGTGATATTGCACTAAGCTGCAGCTTTTATCCAACTGTAGTCACAATCATTTTGTCAAGACCTCATTTCCACGTGAAACAGTTTTGGTCAAAAAGTCGGTTTTTCCAAAAATAAATATTTAGGAAAAAGACAAATTGAGGTGCTTTGTCGAAAGACAAAAGATCTCAAATAGTGCATTTTGTAGAGCAGCTTCTGATCTACAAGCTGATGTATAAATAAAGATCCCAACTATTCGTTTCGAATTGTAATAGTGAAAATACAAAAGTGTGCGGAAAAATTCTCCGTCCCAACTAATTTTTTGGGACTTGTCAAAGATTATTTCACTATTCTCGAACAATAACTGGGACAACATTTCTGAACCCATATTCGAAAAGAGCACAAAATTCTGGTTCTAACTCATAGCTTTTGACTCGTCCGTAATACTTTCTAGCTGGTCAAAAGTGAACAAATATTTTGTCCAAAAACTTTTCTATCACCCGTTACGTATATCGATATAACATAATGATTCATATGAAGCGACAAAGAAGAAAGAAAATAGAAATACAGCAATAGAATTATTGTCACTATATGACAGTTTATTTTCTTATTCAAGTTGTTGTATTTTTTTAAATTTATTTCTTGTTCTTGATATAAAAAAACCAATGAAAATATTTTGTTTCATTCTTATTTTTATGTTTTCTTTTTCATACACCAACAGTACCACCATGTCAACTTGTTATTTTAGTATGTTGATTACGTACACGTAAATTGTAATAATGACGAAGACTACCATTAAGACGAATTTATTTCATACATTCTAAATCTTCATGAACTTTTGTATCAAGATTATTTGATGCTGCTTGAAAATATTTTCCATCTTTTTATATTTTTTTGTCTGTTGAGAAACAATCAGGATTTTTATATTGTTATGGATTATTCATTATTGTAACAATACGTTCAGCTTCTTCACTTAATTCACCGACACGTTTTGTTCCATCAATACCAGTCTTTCAAATAACGACATGTAAAATCGACAACCAATACTTTGAATTGCTGTTAAAGCATATCGAATTTTTCGACAACAATTAATACTCGTATTAAGTTCACAAAGCAGTGCTTTTAATGAACGTGTACCTTGAAAATCAAAATATACAGTATCCTAATGAAAAAGCATTTACACAGTGTTTTACACGCTGAAAGAAAAATAGCGTGTGTGCTATACCTGCTGAATTTTATTTTTACTCTTTGTTTTTTTACAAGATTTTCGTGCCTTTATGCTTAAAAGAAATTTATGTATTGGACACGATCAAGACTATACACATTACGTTCAATAAGATAATAGATAGGGACCCTTTTACATCATTCATGTTCTTGTATGCTTAGCTTACTTTTGTGACTTGCGTACCATATAATATTGATGTCCAGTGTTACTGAAAGAATTTTTCGAGCAGCCGAAAGAGATACGAGAAAAGAAAACACTAAGGGAAAAGATCCATTTTAGAAAATCTTAATTTTAGTTTATATCTGAAGATTTTCACCGACTACAGATTCTGAGTTCTGTATTTATATTTTTTTATCATATCGATCTTCCTCTATGGGTGAATTGTAGTCCAACACAACGCGACAGTGACAAGGGTAGGTTGGAGAGAGCATTAGGTTGAATTCGGGCCTATTCTATATCTGGATCATCATCTTTAAATCTTCATGTTTTCATTAAAGTGAAAAAACAAGTAAGTTTTCTTTTAAGCTTTCGCCCTCAAAAAGTCACTTTTCGTGAAAATGATCGAAATTGAGATAAATTCATGGGAAAATAGCGTGTCATCTGCTCTTTCACAAATGACGAAAGATTTTTACTCAACACATCTTTTCTTCCGAAAATTTTGAAAGATTTTTATCATCCTCTATTCGAAAAATAGCCGTTTTCACAAAAAAACTGAAAATCAGTTTTCGTTTTTCTCAGAACGTGGGTTCAACAACGTAGCGTCAATAAAACTCTATCATAATAAGAGATGAAGTCAAATATTTTTTTTTGCTTGAAAGCTTGTGTCTAGGGGTAGCCCTCATCGTGGCTCTGGTTTTAAAAAAATCTTTCTATTTTCATAGAACAAGATACCTCTATAAAAATAGGGCTATTTTTTAGGGTTTTTTAGTCATTCAACTTGTCATTCCTTCTTTTCGTTTGAAAAGTGAGAATTTAAAAAAAAAGGATCACAATAGAGGCTAGCCTTGACACAAGCTTTGAAACAAAACAACAATTAATGTATAAAATGAAGGTCTACAAAGAAATCTTCAAGATGCCATAGAACTATTTTTGACTCTTGTTTGGTGAATATATCTGTCAAACGTCATGATATAGTGCTGTAAATTTTACCATATCTATCGCTCACCAGTCCTAACACATTCTGAAAGTTTCATGCAATTTAGAATTTCTTGGACTGAGATCTATTTTTAAGAGGATTCTTAAACAAAGCCTTTTGACGTGACTAGGCACTTCTTGTCAGAGGCGGCGGAACGATTCTAATCTACGGGAGGCTCAAAACTTCTCAGGCGGTGATAGGAAGGTGATGTACGAGAAGGGGGTATTTTCTGGCTTTTCAACCCTAACTCTTATCAAAGAGATATCGGATATCTCGATGTTTTTTCAACAGAGTTTATTTTGCATATATCCTTCTATAGGTGACTGATATAATCTTGAAATATTGTGGAAAGATGTTCTATGGAAGTTGAGAATCTTTCGTGATTTATTTCTTTGGTATTTACAGGATTCATTTTAATCACAAAGTTTCTCTGCTTCATAGCATAGAACATAATATAACTCTATTAAAAAAACCATGATTTGGAAGAAAAAGCTTTCATCTTCAGCTGTTCTTCATCTGAAGTCTTGTCTACTTTCATCTTCGGTCAGATGCCCGTGCTTGCCTCAATTTCGTTCAGTTGATGATGAGAGTAATACATAAGTACAGGAACTTACAGAAAAGTTTCGAAAAAATGAATCATAGAAGCTGTTGTTGAATTCTCTACACCAATGCATCACAATGTCTTGTCGACTTGTTGTAATGAGTTCGTAGAATATTGAAAGATAGGATATATAAAACATTGCTATGTCATATCATACTGAAAGTAATAAAAATATTTGTCATACTTATTTTCTCACATAAAAACCCTGAAAACTTAAATCTGTTTTTAAAGAAGCAAAATGTTCTCGTGAATTGTCTTAATTGGCTTTGACAGAACTAAAAGCAAAGGCGTGCAAGATACTATATTTTTCACTTTTCTGAAATAAATCTGTTTCACTATTTAAACAACTAATTACCTAACTGTTCAATTTTAATTCTTTAAGGCGATCTTCAAACAAGAAACATATAATTTTGGTATTATCATTGCATTCTGTAGTGTGTTTTAATACATTAAACTTGATTTTGATAAGAATTATGCTTTTTTGTAGCGTTCAGTTTACTGTTATCGTGAAAAATTACACAGTGCCGTACAGCATTACTTTTTTTCCTCCTCTCCAAATTGTTTACAATAAACCAGGAAAACCTTTTTCTATGAATATTGTGGAAAGTGTAATCACACATCTTAAAAGGAGATTCATATTTTTATCATTTTCTGGCGAAAATCCCATGCGGCGCAAAAGAAATGGAAAAAATGTCGAAATCTATTAGACCATATTATCAACTTCTAGATCAATAATTCTTTTTTTGTTGGAAAGAGCAATGTCTGAACTGCAACTTTTGTACCGCGCATATTTCTTCAGGACGTCTCTGAGAAGGAGGAAAAGCCAAAAACTGGACATCTCTATAAAAGTGCTTGCAACGTTTTTGTAATTTGAAAAATCAGTATTACTTGATTATTTTGAGCTACATAGACCAACTTTTAATCTAAAATACACCAAAATGGAGTGCATTAAAAACACTATCAATACCACCTTAGGTAAATTATTTTATGTCCATATTGACTCTTTAATCAGAAAGGTTTGAAAAATGAAATTTTTGTAAAATAAAGGCGTTTACAAGAATTATCAGTTTGCAAGAATATCAGTCATCATCTGTCGAAATCACACATAAATTCAATTCTTTTTGCGTTATTTGTGTGAAATATGTGAGATCATGAAAACTTAGCAGAAAAAAATAATTCAAAAAAAACATTTTTTTACCTCTGCAGAACGGTCAGGTAGTGAGCACAAGCAAATCATGCAGTCTTTTTCAGAAAAATCAATACTTTGATATGAAAACCAAAGATAAATTTGACATGCAATATACCACTGAAAAGAGCATTCCTTTTGCTACAAAAATCATCATAAAACGTGATTTGTATATCCTCTTCCGATGTAATAAATATTCAAAGAAAATAAAAAATGATGCTGCTAATAGATGAACTTGCAAGTACTGTTTTAGAGACATCCAGTTTTTGGCTTTTTCTCCTTCTCAGAGACATTCTGGAAAAATATGTACGGTACAAAAGTTGTAGTTCAGACATTTCTCTTTCTAATAAAAAAAAATTTATTGATCTAATAGTCGGCAATATGGTCTCATAGACTTCGACATTTTTTCCATTGCTTTTGCACCGCATGTTAGATGCAAAATAGGCATTATTTTATAAGTAAGCTAGCTGGAGTTTTTGATAGCTATTTTGGACACCACCGGCAACGTATTTTTTTTTTTTTAAATTCAAGATTTTAGCATTTGTTCATGCGAAGATACATGCAATATAAGCTATGTTGATAACATTTTGTGACATTCATTCTCAAATTCGGAATGACATTCCTAAAATTTTCTCGACTATCGGATCACTCTCAGATGTTGCTTTTGATTTTTAGGTGAGACTTGAGCTTTCTTAAGCACAACTGATTTGCCGCTTGTTGTGCTATCTAGCATGAGACTGAATGTACTATTGTTCAAAGAACTTTCGCTTACTAAATATAAGCTCATGATAAGATTTGGGAGCATTTTCCAAAATATAAGCCTCCTCAAGCCTCCCCTGCCTGTTTTAGGGGAGGCTTGAGCCTCCCCAAGCCTAATGGCTCCGCCGCCACTGCTTCTTGTACATTTTCCCACGTTGGCCCACAAAGTAAGGTGTACGAATACATGTTGTTATAAAATGCATTATGTACCCCCCGTACATTTTATTTCAGATTCTCATTAAAAACATAGGTACGAGTGTGGGTGTTTGTGGATGTGTGGG